ACATACAAGATGTTTATATATGTATATATACATATGTATATATCTATATATACATATATATATGTAGAATGGCTAAATCAAGCTAATAAATGCCACAATTTCTCATGTGCTCATCTTTTTATAGTGAAAATATTTACAACCTATGCTTTCAGCAATTTTCAAGTAAAAAAAGACATTGTTACTATGATCATCACATTATATTATAAATGTTTGAACTTATTTCTCTTGTGAAATTAAAATTCAACCAAGACTACATGAATAATCAACAAATTCAATACAATATTTAATTTCTATTTAACTTTCAGTCTCAGCAAGGATGATTATAAGTGGTGTACAGGATTACTTATTTTCCCTTTAGTCATTTTTATTTTGAACTATGACCAGTTAGTCAGTGATGTGGATCCAATTCTGTCTCTGAATATGCACAATGTAGCTTTGGGTAAGGCAGTTAACCTATGTCCATCTTCACTTGGAAGGTAGGGATAATGGTTTGAAGTATCTTATAAGAACATTGTGAAGATTAAAAAGAGAATATATACAGTTCTGTAAGTGCCTAATACTAGTAGTATTATGGAAAAACAACTTGAGGGAAAGCTGATGAGGTTTCTTTTGCTACCCTTTGTGTAACAAATATCCCACAAAGGTTGATTTCAAGCTACCAACAATTTAAGCACCAATGTAAGCCAGTAGTATCCATGCAACATACTGGGTTTCCATAAACCTTACTTTCATTATTACTAAATCTAAGGGTCCCCTTTGGACTTATCAGCATGTATATTCCATGAATGGTACAAATAATAGAGGAAGGGCAAGTTTAAAGAGGTAAGTGGGGTATGATGGAATTATAGCAGGCAGGCATTGAGGTAAAAGAGCTCAGAAATAATCTGAAAGTATTTGGATATCTGGACATGAGCATTTGGAGAGGTGACAGTTTTGAGAGGCATTTAGAGTGAAAATAAGCCGACATGGGAGTCAGGATCAAAAAAAGTCAATGTACTGAAATAAACTTGTAAGACCTAGAGTTGTAATGTTATTGGTTTCTTTCTAAAGAAAGTGAACTACTTTGATTAGAGCTTTGGGTTTTGTGGCGGTTTGGTGTTAGAATGAGGAAAATAGTTATTTACTAAAATTAGCACAAGTTAGAGGGTAGAAAGAAGGAAATTACTACTGTGGAAATGTGTGTGAGTAGGTTTCCAGGAAGCCAAAACTTCCAGATGTCACGGAGAACATGTGGCTGCCAGTGGCCATGGGTCCAGAGCTGTCCCAGGTCACCATGCAGCACTGACTCCTGTTTTCCTCCAGTTCTTCTCCCATCCCTACACAACTTAGCTGCACTCTTCTCTCATTGCACAATTCTTTCTTCTTTTATTCCACGTACCTTAAACACACCCCCCCTGCTTTCTTTTCCCTCATGACAGTGGAGGTTCATCGATGATCTGGTTTGAAAAAGGGAGCAGATATTCCTAGCCCCACTCCCCACCACAAAACAGTCAGGCTTTCTAGGCATGAAAGGCCTCTCCTTTTGGAGGGAGGGGATCATAAAGATATGTGCAGTATGGAAACTATTTTAGAAAAAGGAAGATTTTTTTTAACCAAATACAAAATCTTAACAATTAAACACAGAGTTAAGAGATTGAAAAATAAGGGGAAAAAACAACTTATCTTAATGCTCTTAAAAAATTGCATTAGCATTTGGATAATCAATCTGAAATTTAGTCAGTAAATAGTTAGATCAGATAAAAAGCTAAGTTGCTTGGTTGTTAACTGGTAATCTAAAATAAGTAGTACTACTAATGAGAGCCAGAAGTGTTAGATTTCAGAGAAGAAAACTTTGAAGGTAAGAAAGTGATTGAATATGAAAGACAAAAACAATGTTCTTAAATTTTTTTCATGTGACCAAACAACAAGGAGGCATCCTAGAAAAAACTTACTAAATATAATTCTCACACCATTCCATAAGGACTATGTTGCTGTTTTAATCTTAGCAAAGATGAAACTAAACAACACAGAAGTTGTTTATTCATTTTAGATTTATTTTTTTAATAAATTTTCCAAATTGTAATTATCATGAATTATATTGCATTGACTAACACAGTACATTGCCATTCAGATGGAGACTACAGACCAAAGTTAGAGAAAGTATGAGTGAAGTAATAAATAAGGATACATATTAAACATAAGAATGCATGGAGGACCACCTGAGCAGCTGTTCTTGAAAGAAGAGAAATTGTCTCCATTTTGGCTGAGCACCAGATCCCCAGTTAGATACTATCTCAATAGCATAATGCAAATTACTTTCTGTGCATATGCAGAGGCAAATGTAGGCCACCTACCTAGCTCAGCTCACAGTACTCACCTACTTCCCATAATTCTCAGTCATTCCTCCTCAAGCCACTCCTCTACTGAAACTACCTGGGTGCCTCCCTGGGTCACCCTCTTGGTTCTGGAAGGCCATCTTCATGGCTGGACTTAGGGCCCCTTGGCTCCCCAGTAATTATAAGTATGTTTTACTGTCTTTTCTTTCCCCATGGGTTGCACTGGGAGTGGTAGGTGGGAATTAACTTGGTGGGATTCCAATAACGTATCTTTGGGATTGCAAATATTAACTTTTTGAACTGAGAAGAGAACCTGGAGGGGACTCCTATAAGAATGTATCTATAAGGAAATAGTACATAACATATAGTAAAAGATAATAATTTGAAGAGGAAACAAAAGCTGATGTTACAAAGTTTGTTTTCTTTCTAAAATGTAATAGTTCTTTACAGTTCCTGGTACAGATTACACAGAGAGTGACAGGTAATGTCAAGATAAAACTCTAGGTCTTTTACTTCATTCTCTACGTGCCTTTAAGGAAGGTCTGCATCTTCCCAGTTTCTGTGTTAGAAGAGCAGTACTCCTTGAAAACTATCTTCCTTAGTATCACTCCAATCTGTCTATTCAGCAAATTATTATGCCTAAGAAACAAAGCTCAAGGTATTGTCAATAAAATGCATTTAGATAATATGGCATTGTTGAACATGTCTCTTTACTTGTAGTCTTAGGTGATTCTTCAAGCCATTATTTCCTGGGATTGGGCTATGTTATTTGCAAGAAAGTCATAGTCCACTCACGTTGCTTTGGATTAGGGATCTCTACATCCTTATATTTACCAATGAAATGTATTCTAGGAGAGTTATACTTTTCTTAATCCTCTTGTTTAAAATAAAAGTTATAAAAAAATAAAAAATAAAATAAAAGTTATAAATATTCAATATCTTCATCCAATGTATAAAGGAGCTGTACTAGAAAATTTGTGATGTAGCTTTAAGAACTGATGTAATTCCAAGAAAATAAAAGAAATAAGCTAACAGAAGAATTAAAAAGAAGAGAAGGAAAAAAATACAGAAAAGTTAACATATTGGTCTTTCTTTTATCCAGAGCCCTAAAGGACTTAACAGAACCATGAAAGACTTTCCCTGGTCTACTTGAATTTGATGGAGGAGGAAAGCAGTAAGAAAACAGGTCATTCTGCAAACAAGGCAGAAGCAAGTGTTTCAAGAAATCTCTGACTTTTCACTGCCATTTAAGCTACACAGTGTTTGAATTCCAACATGAAGTGATTTGTCTGTCAGGTCTGTTGTAGGACTTGATTGTGTAAAGCAGTGTGGCACTGATCCTGAAAGGGCACTGGACTTAGAACTTGGAGCGCTCCTCTCCCAGACTGACCAAGGCTCCTATAGGTGGAAACCCTATGGTAATGACTTTACCTCAATGAGCTTCCATGTCCTTACCTAGAGCAGAAGGGAGTTGGACCAAATGATTTACCATGCAGCTCTCAGAATTGATGTAATTACAGGAAAACAAGAGAATAGCTGAGGAAGATGTGAAAAGAGGCAAGAATCCAGTAAGGTCCAAAGAACCTTTATGAGACATTCCTTTCACCTTCTGCTGGTGTTTTGTCTCCTGTATGTCTCTTCTTTATTCTTAGGTCAATGAGTCTGTTTGCCTGGGATTTGTTATCTAGTCCCATCCCTGCTCACTGTTTTGCTAAGGGTTGATCTTGCTACAATGCTTGGTTTCCCTGCCATTCTTCATGTGCTGTAAGGTTTATTACATCAAAGACGGAATATGAAAGAACATCGACCCTCTTATTTACCTTACTTTTATAGAAGGATAAATGTTAGGGTTAGACAATAACTCACAATTTAAAAGAAGCATGCTTCCCTGTTGTTTTGTCTCAGAATATGACCACCCCCCTATTTTAGGCCATTTTGAAATTAGCCCTAATATAATGAAAATGTATCATGAAAACATTTAAGAGATTTCCTGTAAAGCTGTCAGCCAATTTACGCTTTGTATCTCCTGGCTTTCTTTGTTTGTTTCACATGAGTCAGCTTTTCACAAGAGGAACAGGCAAGTATGAACATACAATCCCTTTATTTTCAAAATATTTTTAACTAATAGAACAATGATTTCATAAATACCTGTAAGACCTAATTAGTGGATTTTCTTTCATTATCTTTTGCTTCTTCTGTCTTTATTCAGTGACCTAGGAATTAAAGTGTATGTTTATTTTCACTGTTAAATTGAGTATTTAAGATTTTTATGAGTTATTTAATTCTGTGTCATTCCTTACATTTGTATTAAAATGCTGACAATTAAAAGTTTCAATTCTAAATACTTGATTTATGGTATTCTCTTGGAAAATGTAGAAATGAACTATAATTCTTACATTTTTTTCTCTGCATATGAAACCCTTATTTCTATTCCTGCTGTCTGAATGATGCAGTTGATATTTCTGATGAATCACAAAGTCCCCAAAAGTCCCTGCTCTGGACAGTGTGAGCTCCCTCTATTCAGTGCCTGTGTCCTTTTGACATGATACCATCAGTCATGGGGTACTTTCATCTGTTTGCTTTTCTTGGTTCTTCTTTTAGATACTGTAAACTTATGCAAATGCATTGGTTCGCACAACTCTGCATATATTGGAAATCATCACTATATTTTGCTATGTTTCTGGCATTTCAGCTGAACTGGTGCTAGGTCAGACGAGATAAATAAATGCAGCAATTTTTAAATATTGTGTTCTCAGGATCCCATTAAGCATGTAAAGATATCAAAGACTCACATAGAGCATTTTTTAAATGTATTGAGTACAGAGTCTCACTACACAGATCAGACTTGTAGTGATCCTGTTTTTTAGACTCCCAAACATTGGGATTATAGGTGCATGCCACTATGGCCAGTCTCATTTGCTATCTCAGCATACCCTGGGGGTGGGGCCAGCATTGCAGGCCAGGGATCCAACCTCATCCCCTACATCTGCCTAAGCAGGTGAGCATTTTTGTAATGAGAACTATATCTGTTGGTAAGTACCACATTTGGAATAAAAACTGATATATTTGAAAAATAAAAATGACTAACCTGCATTTCTGTTAGCTGTTTCTGTTAGCCAACATCATAAATCATATAGCTTCTAGAAAATCCCAGGGGCCATAAAGATAGCTTAGTGATCTAAGCACCTACCTAGGCAAGAGCAAGGACCCAGGTTCGATCCCCAGTACCACATGCTGTGCTGGCCCCACCCAGGTCCCACCAAGCCAGCCTCCAAGACCAGGCGTAGTGGTGCATGCCTATAATCCCAGTTCTGGGGAGGCTGAAACAGGAGGATCACTATGAGTTTTAGTTGTATAGTGAGACCCTGTAGCAAATACATATTAAAAAGAAAAGGAAAGGAAAGGAAAGAAGAACAGAGAAAAGAAAGAAAATAAAAGAAGAAAATTCCAGAGCATGCTTGAAAGAGAATGAGAGTGAAAAGAGTAAATCACATATTGATGCTATGGCTGTGCATACAATATTAAACACTGATGAATTAAAATACATGCAAAAGACACTATCTTATGAGATTTCACAAGTCTTTCTCAAAGTAATTTCATCTAGACTACTCACAGTGCCTGAACATTTACATCTCAGTCTGCACTTCTTTTTAGGCCTTTGCCTTTGTGGAGCTCCTTTTTAAGTTCAGAGACATTTGAAAACCCTGGGACTAATTCCTATTCATCACTAATAGCTTAACTTAAAGTGGCTTATTAAATGGCTTATCATTTACTTTTGAGACATTTGGATTTGGGTCTGGTATGTTTGATGGGACTCGGGAAGGTTGTAGAGAAATGAAGAGGGTAAGTTAGAGCATGCACCTCTGCTGACGCTGGATCAGCCCCAGCACCACAGTCTCGCCTGCTCCCCTAAGCCCCTTCCTTCACCCCCTCAGAGATGCTCAGCAACCCTCCAATACTTGTCATGAACTTTCAATTGCAAGTGCTTTTTGGTACTTGTGAATTAAAAAGTGGTAGCTGAGACTTTGAATGTTTAAACAAACCTGGGAAAGTTGTAAATTTTTGAGACACTTCAAATGATACAGTCACATTTTTTAGTAAAATTTCAGAAAAATTCCAGGCTAGTGGTAAACCTACTTAGATAGGAAAACAAAAGAAGCTTTTTGTGCTTAACTAAAACCAAAACTGAAACAATTTGGGAGTTTTATTTTCCTTATAGATATTCATCTGTCATAGCAAGATCATTCACAAATCTAGGTTCAAAGAGAAGTAAATCCATATTACTACTAGAAATTATCAGCTTTGATTAAAAATTTTCCTTGAACTAAGTTACTTCTATGGCATTGATGGTAAATGTTTTAGAGACTGAAAACAAAACTTCAACCCCAAACCTACTTATTTATCTCAAAATGCCAACACTGCAACTAACTTGACTACTGGGGTTTCTAGTTTAAAAAGAACAAAAAGCAAACCTACATTAACATCTTTTGTCTTAAAGGAAAAGCATAACATGTGTGCCATCGATTCATCATCGTTACTCTATGGTTCTAACTAGTCAAGATAAAAAGATCTTATCGTTTCAAATAAAGCTTTCAAAGTTATTTCTTCACAGCTATACTGCTTTTGTCTTTTCTAAATTTTTAATTGATTCTCAAAGTATTCCAATGTTCATCTCAGCACCTGATTCCTCTTTGGTTGTTTGCATAGACACCATACTCATTTGAGCCCTGCGAGGTGAGGAATTACTTATTCCTGTTTGTGTGAGTGAGAAAAATGAGTTCCCAAGCTTTTCTGTGACCTTAGGTGGTACCATAAATGTTTCTTCAGGCAGCACTAGAAAGTCCAGCTCAAACTCCCAGGCATCCTGGCCATCCTGCCCTGCTCTCCAGATACCACTGGGACTCATTTTACATCCTATTTGTCAGTGTATCTTCTTTGTTCTATCAACATAGAGTCTACCTCCTAGCTCCAATCCAAACTCCTGCCTAACCATCATTATCTTTCTCCTAGGTTGCAACAGCTTCCTAATCAGTCTTGTGCTATTGCTTTCTCTACCTGATTTTATCTAAACCTGGCTGTTATAAGATACGTCAAAACAAATTATATCATTCTTCTACTGATAGATGTTTTTGATACATAATAATTATATTTATCTTGAGAAAATGGTGCACATAAGTATCACATCCTGAGGTTTCTTGCTTCCCCTCCCTTTCCTGTCCAAGTGCTTCCTAATTCACAAACAGTTGTAGCCAGTCTTTATGTGGGCCTTGAAGACACCTGGGATGCTTGCTTGCCTGCTTGCCTACCTGCCTGCCTGCCTTCTTTCTTTCTTCTTTGTTTCCTTCCTTCCTTCCTTCCTTCCTTCCTTCCTTCCTTCCTGCCTGCCTGCCTGCCTGCCTGCCTGCCTGCCTGCCTGCCTGCCTTCCTGCCTTCCTTCCTGCATTCCTTCCTTCCTTCCTTCCTTTTTCTTTCTGCTTCCTTCCCCCTCTCTCCCTCCTTTCTTTCCTTCCTTCCTTTCTTAGGACATGTCACATGCTAAGCAAATCATCTACCACTGAAATAACACATCCCCACCCCCCATGATACTTTGAAATCCATTTTTACTGTTCTTTGATCACCAGCATCCTTATTATCCCACCTGTGTTGTAAGTCCTTGACACTTGGTTTTATCTTTGTGTGTGTGTGTGTGTGTGTGTGTGTGTGTGTTTTAATGTATTTTTTAATGTATTTGGTACAGAGTCTCACTATGCAGCTCAGACTAGTAATGATCCTTTCAGCCTCCCCAGTGCTGGGACTACAGGCATGTGCCACCACACCCACTTTCAGTGGCTGGCTTGGGGACCAACACGGCATGTGGTACCAGAGATCGAACCTAGGTCCTTGCACTTGCCAGGCAGGTGTTTACATTGCTGAACTATCTCCCTGGCCATTTTCTCTTCTATAGTGTGCTTCCTACAGTAGCAGCACATGACCCCTATTTTCCTTGACAAAAATGGCCTATCCCCATCTTCTGCTTCATTTTCCCCTATTGATAACATCATCATTTTATATACTATTACTTTATTTGTTTGCCTTATTTATTGTCTTTATTTTTCCACTAAGTTGTAAGCTTTATAGGGAGGCAGGGAGATTTTTACTGGTTAATTTTTGTATGCCTAGGGCCTTTAAACTGGACTGCATCTGCAGTTTTTCAAACTTTTTTTTTTTTTTTTTTTTTTTTGAGACAGAACTCACTAGATTACTAAATTTCCCAAGCTGTGCTCAAACTTGTGTTGCTTCTCCTTCAGCCTCACAGAGTACTGGGATTACAGGCATGCAATGTCACACCTGGCAACAAATACTTCTTGAATGAAGTATTTGTATGTTAATACATTATGAGAAGGAGGTCAGACAGCTTTGCAGTGAGCAACCTTTCTGATCTTGGGGAAAATAGCATTAAACTACAGAGTAGTAAAAGACTTGTAGAAACTGGTAGTCATAAGGTGTAAGATGAAAACTAAAGTAATTTAGAGTGAAAAGAAAGAGTTTTGTGTTCCCCATTTGGCATTTACTGGTTTTGATCATGGGCCAGCCAGGTAATCTCTGTAGATTCACATTTCCTCAACTGTATACCAGTTCCTGTCTCTCTGGGTGGCTCTAAGGCTCAAGTGCCAAGGGGTGTGTTCCCCAACATGGGCATCTTAAAGTGCTGATTTCTGTCTGCTCTGTGACATTAAAGTTTCCACTGAGACAGCATAAGCAGGCCTCTAGTCCTCAGTGGCCTCTCTGACCTCTCTGCAACCCCATGGTCAATGCCACCCTTGTTCAGAAGTTGAGAAGGAAGTGAAAGTCATGGTGGGAGCTGCATTTTGGCTGAGCAGAGAAAACTTGCTGGGCTTCTCTTCAAAAAAAAAAAAAAAAGCAGATTGGAGTGCACCACCAGGGATCACTTGATCTTTCCTTGTGCTGAGGATAAGGCCAAAAACAGCTTGCAAAGAATAGATCAAAATCCTGTTTCTGGAGTATTGGCTTTCCCACTGTGATGTTGTCATCTTCCTCTGGAGTGTGAACAGTTGTGACCTCCAAGGTGGCAGAGAGCCTCTAGATGACTTGAAGCAACTGACAAAATTGTCACCTTTGGTTATTCTGGAGAGTTATGTTACTTAAACAGAGGTGATAGTACTCCATGAAGGAAAGACACAGGTTCCAGAAAACTCAACAAATACCTTGATGTTTGTAATCAGACTCATATTTATCTAAATAGTGGAACATTTTACTCTGAAATATATCAAACCCCCCCACATGGCCCACCATGAATGTACACAATTTTGTGCTATTTTTCAAACTAAAAAGAGTTGGAGCTTGGAA